CCTCTCATAGGTGCTGAGCCCATGGGAAGGGGGATCCACGTTGCCTCTTCGGGCTCAGCCCGGCCGGGTCCCATGGGTGTAGGCCCGGCCACCAGGCGCTCGCCAGCAAGCCCCACCTACAGGCCGGGCTCCAGAGGGGGGCCCTGTTGACCCATGTCCAGGCAAAGGAAATCGAGGTCCATATATCTGACTCATCATAAGGGGTCTTTGTGCTTTGTCTGGTCCCTCACTTTGTGACCCTGCCGGGGTCATAAAGCCCCAGACAACTCCTGGGATCATTGGAACACACAAACCCCTCCACCACGGTAAGGTGCCGGCTTACATAGGGGTATAGGCATGTATATGATTATCTACAGGTATTACCTTTGGCACAATGGTGATTTAATTTCTAATGAAATATGAGTTATTTTGGTGGCTGTTTTTTGAACCCAGAAGAGACCTGGTTCACTAAAACTCCACCTCTCCCCATGTGGCTGCTGTGCCCCTTTCCTGACGTTGTACTAAAGTGGGCCATAGCCAACACCAAAACAAAACAACAACAGCCAAGGGGAAAGGGGACACACGGGCGAACTCCTCTTTCAGACGCATAACATCCTCTCTCAATTGTTCCCCCGATCCCTCCTTCCCATCTGGTGAGTGGTGTGAAACATTCAAAAACACTTGGCAGTAACATTGCTCAGCAAAAATAACATGACGTGTTACCACGAGCAACACAGGTCTTAAACTTCTCACAGCCAAAAACTCATTTTCCTCACTTGCGCATTTCATAATATAAAATGTAACTAAACAGTTCTTGTCACTGGGCAGATTAGGTGCAAAAACAACAACTTCTTGTGCAGCACTTTGTATGAAAATGTGGTTGTTTCAAAGCGCTCCATGAATAAAGCTTTTTGAGATGTATACAGTGATATCCAGGGCTCTACACTAACTCTTCACCTGGTATCACTGGTGTTAACAGCTTTCAAAATTGGTTGCACCAGGTCTTAATTTGGTTGCACCCCTTTTTTGTGTTTTATTTTTATTTTTTTATTTGTTTTTTAATGAGTTGTCTTCATTGGTGTGTTGGGATTTTGTATAAAGAAGAAACTGATAGTGACTAAAGTCATCATATTTGCAAAATGTTTTACCTTGAATCGGATGTTTATTTTGCATTTAATAATTTAATTTACTTAATGGCAGTACAAACAGATAAATGAAACAGGCAGATACTGGATGTCTTTATGCATTGATTAATTATTTATTAATAAATATTAATTATTGATTGATTTGCTAAAATGTATAGTAGGTACATCAAATTTTATATATAAGCTTACTATTAGTGTTACCTCTACTTATGTAATTAATATGTTCTGGAAGAAATTTCTTAACTAGAAGATTTTGTAAGTAGAGACGTGTTTTCCATATAAATGCCCTAATCCGTTCTTAGCCCCCCAAAATTCAGACATAAATGTTTTATAAAGCATAAAAATGCATCGCAACATGTAACAAATACATGTTACAATTAGATTATTGCACAATAAATGAGAGTTGTGCATAATGTGTAAAACAAAAAATTTGAGTAAAGAATAAAATTTATGGTCATTTATATTTTAACTGCATCCTCATTGTTTTTTGCCTTCTCTCAGAAGTGGTTTTTGCCTGGCATTTTTTTTTAAAGAACTGATCCAAGGAAGTTTGGCATTTTCCTCTCTTTTGCTATGATGAAGGCATCTTTTTCCGAAAAAGGCCCGTCTCGTCACAATTAAAAAACTTGCTGAGCAACGTAGCCTTCATCAATAACCAAGTGTTTTTTTTTGCACAAATTCGTCGTCCGCTTTGTGGTCGGCCTCACCATACCAAGCAACAGAATGAATTCCAGTCCTCCTTTTGAACTCCTCAAACCACCCACGCGATGCCTTAAACTCCCAGTGTTCTCTTGCCAATGTTCCCTGCCTGCATCCTCCTTCACGAGGTCATTAAAAATGACAGTTACCTTTTTGCAAACTATGGCCTCAGTCACTGTGTCACCAGCCATCTCTTTCTCCTTTAGCCACACGAGTAACAACCTCTCCATCTCATCCTTCATTGCAGACTTCCTCTTCGAAATTATAGTGAGGCCTTTAGAAGGAGTTCTAGCTTTTATTCCTTCCTTTTGTTTTAATAATGTGGCGATTGTGGATACATTATGGCCATATTCTTTGGCAAGATCTACCAAACGCTTCCTTTTTTTCATATTTTTCTACTGTCTCTTGCTTTGCTTGTATGGGAAAAAAATATTTTCTTCTTTTCTTTTCCTCTTTTCTCCATCACTTTCTTGGTGTCTATCATGAATACTGTAAAAGTTAATAGATTTACGTTAAATTATCGGAACACCTCATGGCCCGAGGGGCGAATGATGACGACGCAGCATTGACACAGATCTATCTATTTCTCTATCTATCTGTCTATCTATCTACAGCAGTGGTTCTTAACCAGGGTTCGATCGAACCCCAAGGGTTCGGTGAATGGGTGTCAGGGGTTCGACGGAGCTTCTGCTGTGGAGGTTAAGACACACCCGACTCAACATGTCAATTATTTATGACATGCCCGCTTGGCCATCACTGGCTGGTTCATTTTATGCCCAATTAAAAAACTCGGAGCTACGAGCAGCAGTTCATGTTGAATTTTTACCTTTTTTGAAATTTATTTCGGAACAAGAGGCAATATTTTCCTGTTGAGGCATTTCAGAACTTGAAAATTCAGTTTGAAGAGACGTTCGTAAGTAGAGGTACCACTGTATTTCTTTTAAGGGCATACTTCATGATCTACGTGAACACACTGCCTTCGTTTTTATTCTAGTCTGGGCATAGCCAATCTCACACTCTTACGTGGGGATGTCAATTTCTCCGTCGATCATAAATGATATGTAGGGGGCGGCGATGATTTTCAGACTGTGCGGACTAAACGACAGCTCGCCGACTACACATGCACCAGAGCAACGAACACGAACAACAATGGCGACCTGCTTCAAGAAGTGCTTATACAGTATGTGGAGATATGCAAAAATTTACATCCAATATTACATCAAACAACAAACACAGGAGCTCTTTGTTTTGGCGCGGTAAGGGTCCTTTTGCGGGGTCACGACTAAGATTATAAATGTGCATGCTTTTCATAATATTCAATGTTTTGTTTAAACAAAAATACATTGTTTCTAGTGGAGAAATTTTTGTTTTATTTCGCCCAATATTTGGATAAAAAGGACATTCTACAGCTCTAATTTTAATACCATGATAACGTGATATGTTTGCTAACTGTTAGCATATCGTAAGCCCATGCCTACTTTTTGACACACCCACGGCGTAGAACCTGGAAATGTGCGCAGGCACCAAAGAAGTGTAATTATTAAAGGTTGCGGCTGGGTGTAAATCATCAACATTGATTTTTGCTGAGGCTTGTCAACGTTCTGTCAAATCCATTTGGAAAATAGTACACCAATGTGTTATGTTCACTGTTCTGTCCAACATGCTACACTTTGAAGTACAGCATGGTTTGTTTGTTTTTTCTTCATGAAATAAAACCAATCGGAGTAGTTTAATCAAAAGTCTGTGGTTATGACTGAATGCATGTTTGAAGCTGCTTCAAGAAAGAAAAAAGGCGGTGAGCCTGCTGGTCGCGAGATCATCTGTGCCCTGCATCCTTCCTTGCGCCACCGACCAGACGAGTCACAATCATATTTGCTGACTGACACAGAAGCAAATAAAAACAAATGATTCAATGTCTAACTCAACTTTGCACTGTTGCGATGACTAGTTGTGAGTAAGAGTGGTCAGGCCTGCGCTGGGGTGTGTGTGTGTATGTGTGTGTGTGTGTGTGTGTGTGTGTGGGTTTTGGGTGGGTGGGTGGGGGGGTGGAATCCCCAAGCTGCCAGCAGCATGTTTGAAGGGAATGCACCTATATCTAATGTGACATATCCAGTATATGTTTGGCCATCAGCGTCATGTGGTCGAGGACACAGTCTGGCCGTTGGGCAGTGTACAAGCGGCGGTGAGCGTTATGGCCCAGGTGTGCCTCATACCGTCACAACAACTCAGCCCACGCCTGGCTGACAAAATCTGCACTATGATGTTTGCTGGACTTTCTACAGACTGTGCAGTGCAGAAAAGTGCAGTTCTTCAATCCATCGGAGTAGGCACGCGGCATGCACACGGAGCCAGATTTGTCAGGGAACACCCACAGTTTATGGTTGCTCACCCCAAGGGTGTACCTGGCATGAGAAATGCACGCTCATGTACACGAAATAATATCACACTACGATTTGCATACTTGTGTCTTTGTTTGTTTGTTTTTGTGCCGAATAGCCTGAAGGACCGGTGGTGAAAATTAAGAATGTCATTGTTGTAGATTTACTTGCTGTTGTCTTTTCAAAGAATCTAATCTGATGTCAAGGATGTGTTGATTAAGCACACTGTGCATCTGTTGTGTGTGAGAGAGAGAGCCCTTCAGTCGTCTTCTGGTATCTTGTATGCATGAGAAAAAATCAGACATGGAGCACTTTGTTACATAACCCTTATTAGCACGACCATTTCCATAAAAGTATGTGCGCGCGCGCGCGTGTGTGTGTGTGTGTGTGTGTGTGTGTGTGTGTGTGTGTGTGTGTGTGTGTGTGTGTGTGTGTGTTGGGTGGGTGTGTGTGTTTCGGAGGAAGGAGGTTGATCGTGTTCCGAGTGCCAAGCAGAGCTTTGCACTCCACTGTGTTATGCATGTCTGAATACAACGTAATTTCATCAAAACCAAAAAAAAAAAAAAAATGAGGTCACACGCTCTGACTCGAGGCATTCGTTTAACAACAAGTAGCTCCTACCTTAAAATAACGGACGAAAAGATTTTCTGAGAATATGCTGTAAAATAAGAATGACTAAATACATGTTTGACAAAGAAGGTTCACAGGGGGCTTTTGAATTAATTTAATTGAGTATCAACAAATTCCTGGATTGTTGTCCAAATGTAGGTCTTCACGATGAGTTGTGTGTATGTCACAGGTCTCGTATGTCAAGGCCATAGACATCTGGATGGCGGTGTGTCTTCTCTTTGTCTTCTCTGCACTCTTGGAGTACGCTGCAGTCAATTTTGTTTCAAGGCAACATAAAGAGCTGCTCCGATTCAGGCGACATCCCAAGAAGAGCAAGGTACTCCAAGATACTCGTGGAAAAAAATAATAAATCAATAAATACTCCTTTACCGGTGTATTTTTCTGTGAACGGACAATAAAATAGTTACCCAGGTTATCGTTGCAGTGTGCCAACTTTTAGATTTTGAGGCTACCTTCCAGTGGTGGCATGCTAATATGCGTTCATGAAATGAGGAGGGATGTTTCACGAGTTCTATCTGAGCATGTTTAAGTTTCCCCACCACCTCATTGCTGTACCGGTGCATGGCTCTGCATGGCTACATCACAGTAGTTGTGTTTTTTTTTTGTTTTTTTTTTGTTTGTTTTTTTTGGACAAGCCATCCAAACAAGATGAATGTCGGTGCATGATATCAATCTTTGTGAGCATTCAGCATTCAGTCAACATGTGGATAACGTGTCTCCTTCTGTTCAATGTAATGGAAAAGTGGTGGAAAATATAGTGGGGGGAGGGGGGTTGTATTTGAGGTGTTGCCTACAAATTAGAAAGTGAATCCATTTTAGATGCTGAACAAAACAAAGCTTAGAAAGTTGAATCTTTTTCTCAAGCAATTTTCTCCTTTTGGCTTTAGTCTGGCATTTCTTTGTGGAAAATATAGTTTAAAAGTAACAAGGAAATAATGTCAATGAGAAATCTCATGGGTTAACATGGAATGCTTGGTGATGCCTGGGAGAAATCAATTTCCAAAAAAGGAAGAATACATGTAGAGCCACGTCAAAAATTATGAGACCTCCAGGTTTGTTCTTAATTTTAATGTCTCGAGCTACTAAAATAGTTTCAAGTGATTAACTGACAAAAGAAAAAACATGGAATACCTAAAACCACCGTTTTTGTTTGTACAAAGATATACAATAGCTATAAGAACCTGATTTTGGGTCCCCGGATAGGAAAGTGAAGAAACAAGGGTGGGTTCATGTTTTTTTTTCCTCCTCCATCCACAAGATCTTGTTTAGAGGAAAGAAACTTTACCAGGTATTCATAAATAGTACAAACAATTCATCATGAATATGGATAGAAAATAACAAGCTTGTTAAAGACTAATTTCATACATCTGTAGTTATATACAGTATGTACAGAGGTACCTCAACTTACGAACATCTCTTCATTTGAAATTTTCAAGTTGCGAAACGCCTCAACAGGAATATTTTCCCGCCTCTTGTTTCGAAAGAAATTTCAAGATACGAAAGGTAAAAATTCAGTATGGGCTGCTGCTCGCAGCTCCGAGTTTCCTGAACTCAACATACTTATAGCTGCTCTGCCATTGGCTATTACAGAGCACCATCCTGGCATCCCATTGGCTTAGAAGGACTTCGACCGTATGTGTCTATGTGTGTAGATAGATTGATATGTGTTTATGCATTGTCCTGGTCATTCGCCCCTTGGGCAATGAGGCGTTCCGATACTTTTACGTAAATGTGAATCACCCTCAGAAAAGTGTTCACCAGGGTGATCGCTCACTATGCTAATGTTTGCCTTGGACATTTTTGAAGGACTGTTAAAAGCCGACAAAAGCAAACGTTCTTGGATCAGTTCTTTACGAAACGCCAGGCAAAAACCACTTCTGACTTGAACTAAACAGGGCAAAAAACAATGAGGACGCAGTTAAAAGTTAAATGACCATCATTTTAATTCTTTACTCTATTATTTGTTTTTTACATTATGCACAACTCTCATTTATTGTGCAACAATCTAATTGTAGCATATTTTTACATATTTTGATGCATTTTTATGCTATAGAAAACATTTATGTCAGAATTTTGGGGGACCTTGGAACGGATTAGTGCATTTACATGGAAAACTTGAAACTTACTTACAAAATTTTCTAGTTAAGAAAGTTCTTCCAAAACCAATTAATTTCGGAAGTAGAGGTAACACTGTATTGTCAGTTTTCCTCAGAATGCAGCAGGTTGTTTAGAATCCGACCCGCACGAATAAAATGTAACTCTCAAACCTCACCAATGTAACCAAAATGTCTTGTATATTGACTGAATGATTGAGTCGCCCGTATTTGGTGTTTGTACTGGATGTGTTTGTTTTTTTTCCCCACCCCCTTTTGGTTTCTCTCCATTGACGCCTGGTGTGCATGCTGTCGACCGGTAGAACAGTGGAGGTGCAGTTGATGCAGATGAGCTAGCTGAATCCCTCCATCGTGTTAACATTGACAACGGCCTCAAGGCGTCAGACCCGCTCTATGGATCTATGACCAACATCTACAACAGCAGCTACAGGGTATGGCACAATACATGAAGTGTGTTGGCATGTACCTGCATGTGCATGTCGCGTCATGCAACCGGTGTATTGTGTGTCTTCACCAGCATTCTGCCAGTCAATAAAGCTGCTTAAGAGGAGATGTGGACTGGATATAGCCCAAAGAAGGGTGTTAATAACAGAAACGTGGAAAGACAGACAAATATTACACAGTATGGTTAAAAATAATCTAAATGCTGCAGCAATTTTTTTGTCATGTGTTTCTATAAATAACTGCATGTATTATAAGCAAACACCAGGCATATGCCGTATTTTCCACACAATATAAATCACACCTAGAAGCATTCGATTTTCTCAAAAGCCGACGGTACGATTTATAATCTGATGCGCCTTATACATGCATCAATATTCTGATTTCTTGGATGTAGTATTATAAATGTTCTGTAAAACGCTTTGTTAAAGCTGCATTGGTTGTGAAAGCTCAATATAAATAAAGCTACCCGAGGACAGCTGGGATAGACTCCACCACTCCCGGCAATCCTTGTGAGAATAAGGCCGATCAGAAAATGGACAGATGCATTGTATTGTCTTCCCTTTAGTGTAGCTCCATCTAGTGGATGCATAACACCACCACAGCCAATAATGTAGCTTCTATTCTATGCGCCTTATGCACTCTATGTATGAAAGCAGTTTTAAAATAGGCGATTCATTGAAGCTGTGACTTATACTCCGAAGCGCCTTATAGTGCGGAAAATATGGTAATCAAACATAAACACTTAGGACCTGATTTATGAAGATCTGTAATGGCGTGTGCTGAATTGCATGTCCCACTAACTTTGCGTGCACTAATGGTGGGCACGTTACATGTAATCTAATAAGATTGCTTTATTTTATTTAGATCCCAAATAGCGAGTGCTAAAGTGCATGTTCACTTCCACAAAAAGGTTGAGCGCACTTGTTGGCAACTGGTGTAAAAGTACTGAAGTACAGTATTGTAACCCATGTGTTACAATTTCTACAATTTTTGTAGATTTTTGCGTATTGTCATCTTTAAATCAAAGACAGAGCATAAAAATTGTGTGATATGAAATATTCCAATTCATGTTTTATTTATATAGATTTATATTTATGTTTTGGTCATAGCACAATACCGCTTTTATTGTCCATAGAGGGCAAAAATACAAAGAAAAAAATAAGAACTATATGTGTATGTATAGCACTGATGCCACTGAACATGTCGAGTGGTTGAAAGTAAAATAAATATTCAGGAATAATACTTTTACAATTTTTGTAAAATTGTATGTTGCGTTATATAAACTTATTTACATCGACTGCAGCACATAGGTTTTGCACTTTAAAGGGGCCACATCACGCTAACTTCACTTTTTTGAGATTTTAGCCATGTTAAAATGCTAATTCCTCACTAACACCACCCCCCCAAAGTGTGGTGGGGGGGGGGGGTCGCAAGAGCATTTCGGAAAGCGGACATTATGATACTGAGAGAGAACTTTGTTCGCATCGAGGCTTTGCCTCAGACCGTTCAGTTTTGGCATCAGCTGCGACCCACGGGAGCTGTGTTTGTCCATCCATCCATTTTCTGATCTGCTTTATCCTCACAAGGGTCGTGGGGGGTGCTGGAGCCTATCCCAGCCGTCTTCGGGCAGTAGGCGGTGGACACCCTGAACAGGTTGCCAGTCAATCGCAGGGTACACAGAGACGGACAACCATCCGGGCTCACACTCACACCTAGGGACAATTTAGAGTGTTCAATCAGGCTACCGTGCATGTTTTTGGATTGTGGGTTGAAACCGGAGTACCCGGAGAAAACCCACGCAGGCACGGGGAGAGCATGCAAACTCCACACAGAAAGGCCGGAGCTGGAATCAAACCCGGTACCTCTGCACTTTGAGGTCGACGCACGAACTTCTGGACCACCGGGCCGCCAGCCGTGTTTGTAATTCACAATAAAAGTTGAAATAAGCCACGACTGTCTGACATTATGTCCTTGAGAAACACTAGACCCCTGAATAGGGACGTGCCGAAAGGAGAAGAAAGAAAGACTTTTTACTGTTTCATGGGAGGTGTGCGCAGCCAGGTTTAGGAGAACGTCGTGAAAGGGGAGGCAGTAGCCACACCGAGATGTGGGGTTTTGGTGAAATTATGTCCGGATTAGAAAAATAGCCACCCAAATAATTTCATACAAAATTATATCACCATTGGGCCAGAGGTACAGTATATGCCAATACTTAACTGTGGAAAACTAAAAGAACATGATGGGTTTTACCATGAAACATTTAGGGGAGTGCCACAATTGCAGAATAAAGATTAAAGTGATGGAATTGCAAGTGTTGGTGGAAGAGGAAAACAAACCAACTGAATTACTGAGGTACAGAAGAAAAAAGTCTAGCGCTACAGTACATTTGGGGAAAGCCAGCAACCGAATAAATGCCATGCTTCATTTGATTTAACTTGTCCCGAGTGCAAGGCAAGCAGATGGATTTGCGCATCCTGCACAATGCTGCATTTAAAACTGGAACAGCACACCCGAGAAACTACTCTTCAGAAGCGAGCAGCGATTGTCCCCATAAAGTACAGAGTTGAAAGGAGGTTAGTCACGGGTGATATGGCATGATACCTTCTTGTGACTGGCATTAAGTCATCACTTAGATCATACGGAAGCTCCAAAACTGCATTGTCCCGAACATTTATTCTTTCAAATATGTTTACGTAAGCATAAAGGTTTTTGCTGCCCCCTCTCATTTTGTCTGCACAGCACAATGGTGTCTCATCGTACACTCCACTTTGGCATTTAAGACACAAAGTCGGCTATCACAATTTGGTCTCATTCGCTCATAGACTTTCCAGAACCTGCAAAATGAACTGCGTGGCAATTTTGCCCTTTTGGCAGAAATGATCCTGTGTGTGCCTGGTTAGCAGATCAGCTTCCACATCTGTTTGCGTGATCATTGAAGTTTGCGCCCCAGACTGCTGTTTAATACGCAAACTGTAAAATGCAGGACAACAGACACTTTGAATTTGCCATATTTAAATAAACGTAAGCACCCACAATGTGAAAATAAAGTGGTGATACCCAACACTTTTACACACACTGCTTAATTCTTCTGAAATTTGTTTTTAATTAAGCTGTCACTCAAATGTAAATTGGCGCTGCTAACAGGAGGGGACAAAATATAGAATTAGTTGCCGATCTTTGATGAAAACAGTGGAACAGTTCAATTTGCTATGAATTATTTATTTCCTGAAGCGAACTGTCTTTGAAATAAAAAATAAAAAAAACTGAAAGACAACCAGCATCGCACAACAAATTGTGTTTGACATTGGGGGTTCCGCCGCATTGACATAAAAAAAAAAAAAATCACCGTTTAAACACTCAATGAATTATTTTTTTACTGTATAGCGAGCTTGTTCAATATCTTGCTTGATTTATAATTGCAGGCAGCCCAAGAAGGCGGTCTAATGAGATGTCTGCTGCTCCTTTCTGTCTATCAGGAAGGGGAAGTACATGAGACCAGACTGACCTCTGCAGCTGCTGTAACTTCCACTCCCAGCAACAGCAAGGACTCCAAGGCCACCACAAACAATACCGTCGCTGCACTAAACACTCAAGGAGCCCCGGCACCCGCTGCCCCGAATCCCTCGGGCGTCGCTCCAGGAGGAGGGAAAAGCACAGAGGAGATGAGAAAGTTATTTATCGACCGAGCCAAAAAGATTGACACGGTGTCGAGGGCCGGTTTCCCCCTGGCCTTCCTGTTTTTCAATATATTCTACTGGGTTCTTTATAAAATACTTCGCCATGAAGATTTCCATTAGCCACAGAGAAAGACAGAGATGGTGCGGTGCGTACGTACCATCAATCCAATATGCACACATAAAAAAAATGCAAACACACTTGTACTGTAGCTCATGTGAGGACATGCTTTCTTTCTTTACCTCCCAGGCACATTACTCTCATTTCTTATGACCTGCCACTTGTGACCTCACATTGCCCCAAAGTTGCCAAAAACATCGATGTACAGGGAGAAACAAGCATACTACACAGATGAAGAACAATCATGACGTGGTAGTCTTCAAGACAACAGTTTTAGCATGATTTTGACAACACAGTGTTTGTATGTAGAAACTCTTTTGGTACAGTATACTCACTGGTGATGGGGTTTGAAATCAGTGGTTCAATTTCCACTGCCGCTTCTTATGCCCAATTCCAATTGAGTGCCTGTCTCATTTTTGGGGTCTGTATCATTACATCTCCAGTACCGTATTTTCCGAAATATAAATCACAGTGTTTTTCATAGTTTGACCAGGGGTATCACGAACATTCTGGAATGATTTACGTGTGAAATTATTAACACATTATTACAGATCATTTCACGTTATTTTCCCATTAAACCACAAGAGGGTGCTCTAGGCCTGTATTGATAAGCAGACGATGAGTCTGATGTAAGCAATGTGGAAGAGGAAGTGGACAATTGGAGTGACATTGATGGTTTGGTAAACTTGTTAGCATGTTCTTTATGCTATAGTTATCTGAATAACTCTTAATACAAGGGTGTCAAACATACGGCCCGGGGGCGGAACCCGCCCCCGGGAGGTTCAATCAGGCCCGCAGGATAATTCAAAAGTGAAAAAATGCATTAAACACACGGAATGAATATTTTTAATAAGGTGCAATTCATTGAGTATCCGCTAGGGCAGGGGTCCCCAACCGGACGGCGGCCTTAAAAGTATGTTCGAGACAACTGGATTTAAAGTTATGTCTGAATACTCTGAGATCGCCACAATAGCACTGTTGCTATTTCCGACATCGTACCTGTGTGAGGCGGGGGGTTTCTGCAGCAACGGCGACGAAAACAAAATTACGAAGTAGACTGGAATATAAACCACACACTTGAGGTGTCATTGTCTCCTATTACTCCGAGATGGGACTGTCTGATTGCAGAAAATCAAGCTCGGGGCTGTGGTGAGTCGTCATTTTCATGCACTTTGAATTTGCGTTGTATCGTATTTTGAAGGCATTAAACATTACCAGAGCGATAAGAGTGTTGCGACCAGATTAGACGCTCCTTGTGTTTATTATTATATTTCGAAAACACCACAGTTTTCATGCAGCTCATACCATATTATTTTGTTGTATTAATCCGCCACACCTTAAATGCCGGTCCCTGAAAATATTGTCTGACTTAAACCGGTTCGTGGGGCAAAAAAGGTTGGGGACCCCTGTGCTAGGGGACACACTATTTTAATCAGAGTAGAAGACAACATTGTTTTGATCAGAGAAGAAGACAACAGCAGCCTCAGTCTTTCACTGAGACAGACCCAACACAGCAGATGCTATCAAAGGACATGTGAATACTTTATTCTTTACACATTTAATAGCACTCTCCTTAGTTTGTAAGGTGTAGGCAGGGATTAAATTTAGATTTTATATGCACATGTGTAAATTATTTTAAAATTCCCTTCTTTATAAATCTCGTTTAATCTTAAAGTGCACTGCTATATTTTTCACTACCAATTACTTGATAAAGTTTTGTGCCTTTGTCCAATCAGTGGGATCAGTTCCAATTCATATATGTGAATGATAAAAGTAAATTGCAAATTTGTCTAAGGAAATCTAAGGTGCTTCATGAAATGTTTTGGAAAAGATATGTTCGTTAAATTGTAACATTTTCCTAATGTTCTTGTGCTTCTTTAGACCAAAACAAAGGAAAGACATATTATTTTGGTTATTTATAGCAGAGTATGGTATAATTTTAATGGTCCGGCCCACTTGACATCTACCGAGGCCGTATGTGGCCCACAATGTAAAATGAGTTTGACACCCCTGTCTTAATATGTTATGTGAACATACCAGTGTTCGATGTTTATGCGTCATGTAACGCAAGCGTATTGTACACTTATTCGGCCTGTTGTCTATTTTATTTAAATTGCCTTTCAAGATGACATGTCTGTTCTTGGTGTTGGATTTTATCAAATAAATTTCCCCCCAAAATGCGACTTATACTCCAGTCCGATTTATGTATGGTTTTTTTTTTCTTCTTTAGTCTGAATTTGATGGCAGCAGCGACTTATAATACGGAAAATACGGTACGTTCAAGTAACTGTCCATTATCATGTGAGCTAATATAAAGTGAACACCTATAACAGATACACACTCAACTCAACTCAACTGTATTTATAGAGCACTTTCAAACAGCCATCGCTGCATACAAAGTGCTATACATGGAGCACACATACCAAAAAGGCAATCTAGTAACCGCACGGCAGTGAAAAGTGAGAATAAACAATGTTAAATGTTACATAGTGTTTAGTTTGGCCTGCAGAGGCCGTCACACCGAAGGAATTTGTTCTAAAGGCAGCTAACCTTTTGCATAATTGAACTGGTCGCCTTGTCTTTTTAAATATCATGGCGTATTATTCACCTCACCTCTCATTTTGATTTTGGCTAATGTTTGGGTGGATATGTGAGTATACGCTATCCGGTGGAGGTTTGCAATGTTATCTGGCTCACAATGGCATTGTATATACAGTGTATGACCTGTTTACTTAAACTGCCGTTACAATTACACATTGTATTCATTATTAATATGATTCAGGCCTTATTCGGTTTGCATGTGTCCTAATTTTTTAATTTCCTAAATGTGTTTTTTTTTCTTTCCTGCTTATACTGTCATGGCCCATGTCCAGACTGCGGAAAAGCAATCAGAATCTGGTCACTTAAACCATTTCATGTAAATCTAGCCTGAATGTCTGACTGGTTTGAACTCTGCCCTAATGTTGTTATTTTTTATTTTTTGCTAATTACGACTCAAATGCACTAATTTTGAAAAGTGAAAGATAAGAACTGATGTTGTTGGGCCGTGCCCTCTAATGACAAGCCACCACTGCCCGGGACCGTTTGGCATTCTTTGAATTTCTGCATAAGTTGGTCATAAAATATGATCAAAATCACATGAATAAACACAGAGTCTGCGTGAAATAATACCACATAAAGCAATGTTTTTTGTTTTTTGGAGGGGGGTGTCTGGTGTGAATATCTCTCATGAAGTCGTAGCACAGCATCTCAATTGGGTTCAGTTCGGGACTATACTTTGTATATAAAGTTGTATAAAGATGGAAAAGGTTACACGAGTGTCTCCATGAGAGTCTTCGTGTTCATTAGTCCACGGTCAGACAAAGTATCTATGGATGGAGAAAGTTCAGGACTGGCACTTCTCTTCCAATGAAAGTTCGTCCTGTAAAGGTTACTGCAAGATGTACAAAATAACCACAGCAATCCGGCAAAAAACAAAAATCTCTGAAATTTACCATATGTCAAACATTCAACAAGAATGAGGTTCACGGGAGAATACCAAGCAGGACACCGTTGCTGTCTAAAAAAAAAAAAAAAAAACATTGCTGCAAGTTTGAATTTTGATGAAGAGCATTTGGATGTTTATAGCACGAGTGGCAGAATAGTCAACAGATGAAACCAAAATTGAATAGTTTGGGAGTAACACACAACACCATGTGTGGAGTGAAAAAAAAGCACCCCACACCAGCATCAAAACCTGATTCCACCTTTGGACCATTACAGTACACATGCATGCTTTGCTCCATCAGGGCCTGGACAGCATAAGTGACAATTTGGTGGCAGAAAGGATACGCCTTCTCGGACCATGTCTAAATTGTGGCACACGTAGAGCAATGTAATTTTGCCGAATTTGTGTGTGGACGTTAGACGCATTTGATTTTAATTTCAGAAATTTCACAACAGCTGGTGTCAAAAACTCTTAATCATTTCATAAATCAAATTTTTTGATTTCCCCCTTCCCTCAATAATCTCACACTTCATTGTCAAATCCAAGACTTCCTCCTGTCAGCTAGATCCCCTCCCCACAGTTCTGGTCAAATCCTGCTTACTCTCTCTGCTCCCTTTCATCTCAACCATCATTCATTCTTCATTGTCCGCTGGAATTGTTCCTGTCCCCTTCAAAATTGCAGCTTTCACTCCAATTCTAAAAAAACCTGGTTCAGATCCCAGTGATTTCAATAACTTACGTCCCATTTCTCACCTTCCTTTCATCTCCAAACTCCTTGAAAAAATTGTTGCCTCTCAACTTCACTCCCACCTCACCCATAACAAGCTCTACGAACAATTCCAGTCTGGCTTCCATCCCCATCACAGTACAGAAAAAGCCCTCATAAAAATCACCACTGACCTTCTCATGGCAGCGGACGCCGGTTTAATTTCTATCCTCATCCTCCTCGACCTGAGTGCAGCTTTTGACACCATTTCTCACCCCATCCTCCTTAATAGACTCTCCACCATCGGCATCACTCACGCCCCCTTACGCTGGTTTCACTCCTATCTCTCTGGCCGCTCTCAGTTCATCCAACTCAACTCCTTCACTTCACAGTCCTCCCCCGTCTCTTCTGGTGTGCCCCAGGGCTCTGTCCTGGGACCTCTTCTCTTCATTATCTACCTTCTCCCCCTTGGCAATATTTTCCGTAAATTTGGTATACACTTTCACTGCTTCGCAGATGACACCCCTCTCTACCTCTCCAGCAAACCCGACGCCTCCCTTCCACCCTCCTCCCTCTCACACTGCCTCTCAGAAATTAAATCCTGGTTTACCCATAACTTCCTCAAACTTACAGTGATAAAACAGAACTCCTCCTTGTCGGTACCAAATCCACCCTACACAAAGCCAACAGTTTCTCTCTCACAATTGATAGCTCCACCGTGTCCCCCTCCCTTCAGGTTAAGAGCCTGGGTGTCATCCTCGATAGCTCACTATCTTTCCACTCCCACATAAATAACATAACCCAGTCCACATATTTCCACCTACATAATATCAATTGTCTCCGTCCCTCTCTCACGCCCACACCACTGCTATCCTTGTCCACAGCCTGGTCACCTCCCGTATCGATTATTGCAATTCACTTCTCTTCGGTATCCATCAGAAACTCCTCCATAAACTTCAACTGGTCCAGAATTCTTCAGCCCGGATCATCACTAGAACCCCCTCCTTCCATCATATCACCCCCATCCTCCGACAGCTCCACTGGCTCCCTGTCAAACTTAGAATCAACTTCAAAATACTCCTCTATACATTTAAAGCCATCCATAACCTCCCCCCCACCCCCAATCTGTCTGGCCTTCTTCAAATTTCCATTCCCTCTCGTTCCCTCCACCTCTGTGTACCCTCTTCCCGTCTCAGCACGATGAAGTGCAGAGCTTTCAGCCACTCTGCCCCCAAACCCTGGAACTCACTCCCACCGAACATCCGAAATATTGATTCTCTTCCCACATTCAAATCCCATCTCAAAACCCACCTATTCAAAATCGCATACTCAGTTTAAATTAATCTCTTCTTTTATTATTTATAATTTTATCTGATGTTTTATTGTTCTTGTTTTGATTGTAAGGTGTCCTTGAGTGTTTTGAAAGGCGCTTATAAATAAAATGTATTATTATTGTTAATTGATTGAAAGCATTGTTATCGTAAATGTTCACATACAGTACATATTTCATTCACCAACAGTTATCACGAGCTCATTCTGGATTTAATATTAGTACCCACTGACATTGTCTGTTGTCAGAGCGACTAAAAAGAATGAAAATTGTCCGGTCATACACGGATACCTACA